ATAGTATGCAAAAGCTGGAAAATGAATAATGAAGATAGAAGAATTGGATGCATTTGAATTATGCTATTGGTAAAGAATACTGAACATACATACCATGGACTGCCAGAACATATAAATCTGTCTTGGAAGTACAGCTGGAATGCTTCTTAGTGGTGAAGATGATGACAGAAACAACCTTAATCAAAGTTAACATTACTAGTACTAAGTCATACTGATATCAATTATCCCTGATATTAGAATGGGAGCCTTTACCTGTAGTATTCTCCACAAACCTATAACCCCAGTCTGACAAACCCAAATTGAGGGATTACTGTGGCCCCCAGGAAAAATATGTTGGAAGTCGTAACTCTAGGTATCTGTAAAGGTGACCTTGTTTGGAAATAGGGTCTTTGAAGATATTATAAATTAATTATAGGTCATACAGGAGTAGGATGAGTCCAAATTCAACATAAGCAATATCTTTGAGCTAGACATATAGTAAAGGGAAGAATGCCTGTGGCTACCATAACCTGGGAGTCCTGCTGTAGGATAAGGTCAGTGGTTGAGATTCACTAGCTGCTCCTTGAAAACCCTACACAGGGTTTGAGTCGGAAACAACTCGGTGGCACGTAACAACCATAGACTGAGGAGTCCCGGACCGATTCAAAGGCACTTAACAACTACCATAAAGAAGGAGACAAAAGATCTTCTACAGACTTCTGAGAGCATGGCCTTAATGACACACTGAATTCAGGCTTGTAGCCTCTAGAACTGAGACAGCGACTCTGTCATTTTGTTACCCACCTTATGGTAGTTCATAGCAATATTGTTGTTGCTGAGTGCCCTTAAGTCCATTCCAACTTAGAGTAACTCTGTACAGAATTTCCTAGGAGCGACTGGTGGGTTTAAACCACTGACCTTGTGATAAGCAGTCCAATAGTCCTAGGAAACTAATACAGGGACAGCCTACAAAAATTTGTTTAATACTCTTTACAAGCGTTAAGGTCATGAAAGACAAGGAATGACCAAGAAATTGTCATAGATCCAAGGAGACTAACATACAATGGCTAAATGGAAATGTAATCTTGGACTTGATCCTGAAACGTTAAGTGAAAAAACTGGAGAAATCCAAATAGCATCTAGTTTAGTTAAAACAGTACTGTGCCAGTGTCAATTTCTTAGTGTACCATGATTATTTAATATGTTAACTTTAGGAAAAGCTGCCCATGTATAAGAACTCCACTATCTTTAAAACACTTGAGTAAATCTAAAATTATTTCATATTACGAACTTTTTTTTCTTTCTGATACAGTCTTGGACCTAACCCCAGAATTTGATTCAGTAACTCTGGGGTGGTACCCTTTATTGTTGTTGTTAAGTGCTGTGGAGTCGGTTCCAACCTATAGCGACCAAGTATAGGATTTCCAAGGAGCAGCTGGTGAGCTTGAACCGCAGACCTTTAAGTTCAAACTGATTTTGCAGTCTAGCACATTAACCCACAGAGCCACATCAGGACTCTGGAGTGGGGGTCCTAGAGAACATTTTGTAATAGGTGCTCAGAAGATGCTAATGTTGTTTTGAAAACCTGTTTTACAGAAATTTTTGTACTGCTAGACATTTTCTGCTGTCCTTTTCTTACCTTTGTGAATTTCCCTGCAATAAACAAGATGCTTCTCTGAAATCTGCAAAGGGTAGCAATGAGCCAAAACCAACTCCACAGCACATAACAGTAACAATAAACACAGAATGAATGAAAAAGTTCTTGGCTTCCTATTTTAAAGCAGTTTTATTTATTTCTATTCAGTGTCATCAGTTTGACCTGAAGGTGATATTTTAAGAATATTATTGTTAAGTGCCTTCGAGTCTGTTCCGACTCATAGCAGCCCTGTATATAAGGTTTCCAAGGAGCAGCTGGTAGGTTTGAACTGCCGACATTGCGGTTCAAACTGACCTTGGGGTTGAGTGCTTATCCTATGGTGCTACACCAGGACTCTGACTCTCAAACTACCTGTGTTTAAATTCTGACTCTTACAGTGGCTGTTATTTTGGTAACTTTTTATAATAACACTTAACAAGGATGCTATAATTAAACAACTATTACAGTGCTTGGAATGAGTATAATGAACAGACGATAAATACAACTACTATTCTGGGAATCATCTAGCAAAAATACTAGCCATGGGCAGTCACAATCTGTTGAAAGCTTACTTTGTACAGGGAATTGTATATACATTACCTTCATGACAAGCTATGGACAACATTGCGAAGTATTAGTATTCCGGAACACTTAATTGTACTCATGAGGAATCTGTACCGGGACCAAGAAGCAGTTGTTCGAACAGAACACGGGAACACTGAATGTTTTAAAATTAAGAAAGGGATGTGACAAGGTTGTATTCTTTCACCATACTTATTCAACCTGTATGCTGAGCAAATAATCCGAGAAGCTGGGTTCTATGAAAAAAAACGTGGCATCAGGATTGGAGGAAGACTCATTAACAACCTGCGATATGCAGATGATACAACCTTGCTTGCTGAAAGTGAAGAGGACTTAAAACATTTACTGATGAAGATCAAAGAGCACAGCCTTCGTTCGGTATGGATTACCTTTCAATGTAAAGAAAACAAAAATCCTCACCACTGGACCAATAAACAACATTCTTATTAAGGGAGAAAAGATTGAAGTTGTCAAGGACTTCACTCTTCTTGGATCAACTATCAACACTCACAGAAGCAGCAGTCAAGAGATCAGATGACGTATTGCATTAGGCAAATCTGTTGCAGAAGACCTTTTTAAAGTGTTGAAGAGCAAAGATGTCAGCGTGAGGACTAAGGTGCGTCTGGCTCAAACCATGGTATTTTCAAAAACCTCATATGCATGTGAAAGCTGAACAGTAATAAGGAAGACCGTAGAAGAATTGATGCCTTTGAGTTATGGTATTGGAGAATACTAAAAGAACTAATAGATCCGTTTTAGAAGTAGTGCAGCCAGATGTTCCTTAGTGGCCAAGATGGCCAAACTTCGTCTCTCATACTTTGGACATATTGTCAGGAGGGAACAGTCGCTGGAGAAGGATAACATGTTTGGTAAGGTGGAAGGTCAGAGAAAAAGAGGAAGACCCCCAAGGAGATGGATTGGCCAGGTGGCAGCATCGATGGACTCAAGTGTTGCAACAGTAGTGAGGTTGGCTCAGAATTGGACATTGTTTTGTTCTGCTGTGCATAAGGTCGCTGAGTCAGTTCTGACTTGGTGGCACCTAACAACAACCTTCTTTTACTCGTGAGGAAACTAGGCTTAGTAAGGTTTATGTCTTTCCCAGATTCTAAGCCTGCTAGTACCATGGGCTACCAAAAGAACAGATTTGTGTTGGAAGACGTACAGCCAGAGTGCTCCTTGGAGTCTAGGATGGCCAGACTTGACTCTCATACTTCGGACACATTGTCAGGAGGGACGAGTCACTGGAGAAGGATACCATGTTTGGTAAGGTGGAGGGTCAGAGAAAAAGAGGAAGACCCCAATCAAGAAATCAAGATGGACTGGCAAAGTGGCAGCATCAATGGGCTCAAGTGCGGCCACAATTGTGAGGATAACCCAGGACGGGGCAGTGTTTCGTTCTGTTGTGCATAAGGTCGCTGTGAGTCAGTACCAACTCGATGGCATCTAACATGTCTGCTAGTATTCCAAAGCTGTTTTTCACTAAAGTAGTTTTGGTTCAAAGACAACACCTGCAAGATTTCATAAGCTTCCTCTTGTATATTATCTCTCAATCCCCATAGCATATAGCATATAGCAGCAAACTCTTTAAATGTAAACAAAGTCTGTGAGTAAGTAGAGGATGGGGAAACTGAACAGACTTAGAGCCCACAACTGAGAGATGTCCTGGGAAATGGTAATGACGCTCAACAATAAGGAAAATCAGGGCTGAACCCCAATATTTTAGCAAACTACAGGAAAGCATGGGAGCTGGGTGGATCTCTTGAGGATTTAGATAAAAACGGTGTCTCAAGAAAGTTTCAGCTTTATTATTCTGTGCTGTTGCACAGAATAATAGAAAATTAATTCTATAATTCAGCAATTTTATACTTTACAAATGATCATTTAATTATTTTCTGACTGGCGAAATGACGTCACACTTTCAAGTTATCTCAGCCTCAACTGCAAACGTTATTCCAACATACATTTCAGTATGCTGCGAACTGGTGGGGTTTTTTTTTGTTTGGCAATTTGCAAAAAGTAACCTTGACAATTTTTATTGACAGTCTAGCCTTCTTCCTTTGCTGTTGTTGGTGTCACGTGCTGTCGGGTCGATTAGTCCTCCTCTTTAAGTTTAGAAGAAAATGCCCCGTAACCACTATGCAATTCTTTGCCAACGCATCTTCACCAGTATACAAATCAACTGAACGTGAGTCGAGGGGAACAAAGTCAAAACACAAGTACATGAAATGGGTGAGAACGTTGACTTCAGAGATAATGGAATTTTCCCTCTGTAGTTCCCGTGTGTGGCCGGTACACCTATTTTATTTCACTTGTGAAACACAGAACCAAAGTTTTCACCCATCCACTTTCGCTGTTCTTGACAACGGCCCCGCAACCCTATTCCGACGGCGGCTGACTCACCACAGCCGCCCACACAGCCCTGGATGGCCTCGGAAGGCTCCGGAGATCCTCGCTCATTGTGGCCTCCACTCGGCCCTCTATCCATTCTGCCGCCGGCTCCCCCGCCTTCAGTCTGGCTCCACAATCTGCAATAGTTGACGCCCAGTCCTTCTTCTGCCTCGAGGGCGATGGAATCTGGCACCAGGTGGCTTTCCTGGAGATAGCTCAGCGCGCGCCCAGCGGCTTTGGGGCAGTACGAACTCTACAACGAAGCCTTCGCAGAAGCCACGCAAGTTAGCGCGCCGAGCCGCACAAGCGCGTACCGGCCTGGCGCATGCGCCCAAAGGCCGGTAACGCGGGTCCCGTTTCGGTGACGTGGCTGTGCGGAGGCGGAGCCAAGGTCGCTGGCGGGAGGCGTGGGGGAGAAGAGCGAGGTGAGTGCGGACGTCAGAGTGGAGAGCGGAAGGTCAGGGCGACTCGGAGCGGAAGTGAGACAGGGGAGTCTGTCCGCCATTGTGGACCGGAGAAGCGTAGAGCAAGAGGGAGAAAAGGAGCGTGCAGGCGGAGAAACGGGCCCCTTCCGCCTACTCCCGAGTGCGAATTCCTGTTTCTGGCTTCTCAGCGAGCGGCCGCAGCGGCGGCGGCTGGAACACTTTCTCGGCTGAGGGCGGCAGCCAACTGGTGTGAGTGCACGGGGAGAGGCCCAGGCGGCGGCGGCAGCAGCAGCAGCTCTCGGGTTGCGGTGAAGAATGTCAGCCACTAGCGTGGATCAGGTGAGGGAGCAGAGGCCCCGGGCTCGGCAAAGGCCCGAGCCCCGGAGCTCCACCCTCGTGTGGGGCTGCGGCTCCTCCCCGTCGCCGCTGCTGCCGGCCCCATAACGGTGCCCCAGGCGTTAGTTGCTGCGGTCCTGCCACCAGGGCCGCCGGGGCGTGCATCTGGCTTCGGAGCCTGCGGCCGAGGCGGCGGGCGGGCGCGGTGCCGCGGTGGAGTAGGGAAAGGATTGCTCCTCCGGGCCCTCGGACGCCTCCCGAGGGCGGGAGACGTGGGACTGAGCCTAGGCAGCTGTAGAAGACAGTTCCGAGTGGTGGGAGAAGGCTGAAAGGCGGCGAGTGGTTGGGAAATCGGTAGCAGAGGAGGATGGGATGGATTTTACTCCTACGCGGGTTGTAGAAAATAGCTTGTTTTTGGTAATGTCTTTGAGTAACACTCTTCCTCCCTTCTTTTTTCTTCTCTTTACCACACCTTTCGTCTTGCTACACAGAGACCTAAAGGGCAAGGAAATAAAGGTGAGCTTCGATGTTTTTCCTTAGTTTCCTAATGTTGGTTTGATGTGATTTTTTAAACTGGGTTTTTTTGTTTGTTTGTTTCTGTCGTTGTTTGTTTTTGCCCCCCTCCTTTTAAAAATTTTTTTTCCTGCAATGTAGGATTAAAGTAGAGAAGCAGCACCCATCATGGCAAAGGCAGCCAAATGTTATCCAAACTTCAGTAGTTCCCTGCATTGAAGCTACTTTTAAAGTGGTACGAGAAACAGTTTTTTTTGTTTTTTTTTTTAAGTTGTATTTCAATTAAGGAGGGATTATTATGCATATATTGGTATTTCTCTAGGTTTTTTTTTTTTTTTAAGCATACTGTATTGTGTAACTTCTGCCACTATTTTCTACCAGTATAGACTAGTATGTTGATAAAGTAGACATTTTGTTTTGACATCTCTGGATTCAATGGAGCATACAACCCACATAGCCCATGTCACATGCTGTTGATCACTGATTCTGTTGAAGTCCGTTGCAGTGAGACAACAGCATGTAAGAAATCAAAAGTTGAACAGGCATTTCTTTTTGCTGTATAATCCTGATTGCAAGGTGTGACTCAATATTTTAGAAAGAACTAAACAAATCATTTGTGAGGATTATATGGTTTACTCTTGAGTTAAATAAAGCTCCTTTGAAAGCAAAGCGTTGGGGGAAAAAAGTGTTATTTTCTATTTGATAGAGGAAACAGTGCAGTCAGCTGACTGAAACATGACCTTAATCATGTGACATTAGTAAGTGTAGAACAATAACTGCTTTCCTGGGACAATGCCAATTAAATAACATTACTGTGAATTATATAACATTTTGTAATAGGCTGTGAAATGACACTCCAGAATTATGTTCCCTGTTTTTATTTTAGTAGCGAAATTTTACTTAACAAAACAAACAACCTTTTAGATGTGAGTTTAGTAATTTACTGGTACTATAAATTTTTTTGTGTTTTTGCTATTGTATATTTGTTGGGTACTCTGTTCCATTTAGAAGCTAGGTTTTGTGAGTTAGGTTTTTGGTGTGTTGTACAATTTTTATTAGAATTTATCCATACCAGATATATGGCCCTGTATGTATCAGGTAACTTAAATATACTGCTTTGTTTTGACTGAAGTATTTTCTTGTAGTCTGTAAACATTTGGAATTTCGAGTTTTAGAATTTTAAGTGTTGTTTTCAAATTTTCTGTTGTAAACACAAGCTTCAAAATAGGAATTGTTGATTTGTTTTAAATGTTTTTTAAAAATTATTTGTAAATTAAAAAAAATTCTTTATTTTCTTTATTGCTAGTCTGTCATTAGGAAGTATATAGGCTTGGAGATGTGTGAAATTTGTGGTCATTATTGCCTAGCATAAATTATTTTATCCTAGATCTGTGGGGAGGTGGCACTTTGCAAGGCTATTTGAAATGCTAAGTGTTTTGTGTTACCTGCTTTAAGGTAAGTAAGCAAGTTCTATGAAGTATTTAATAATTGACAAAACAAAGTAGACCATCTACAGCATTGTAAGCTAGTACTATATTACTATAAGCATGATTTAGGACATGGTCATTTCACTTTTAAGTATGCCCTGGTGATACACATTACATATAAACTACATTACATATTGCCTATTTTTAGATAAATATCTTTTGATTATTTAAAGTATGTCAATCCATCAGTATCACCTCAGCTAGGTATATTTAGATGCACAAAATAATTTATTTAGGTAGTTCTTTATTCCAAGAAATTTTCTTTCTTTCCCCCCTTACTGTTCAGTTCATGATTTCATCCATGGATAGAACGATGGACTGGGATTCCCAGGAGACCTGAGTTGTAATACTGCCTGTGGCTACTGACTTGCCAAGTGAGCTTGAATACATTTTGACTTTTGGTCAGAATTTCCCCTCTATCTAAAATGAAAGTGGTAATTCTAACCATAAATCCCATTGTATGTTATGAGGATTGTTGTAAATGGTCACCATAGTGCACTGTTCCAGTAGCCATTATATTTTTTGGCATTCTATTCACCTCCTTTACCGCATAGATTTTTAAAGTGTAGTAAGATCCATTCCCTTAGTCACGACAGGAGGGAAAAACCACTGGCCTAAAAGTATTGCTGGTCATTTAAAATGCTTTAACATGACAGATGCTGTAAGTGCACAGATACACCTATACATAACTTGTATTTTTTTGCCCTTGAAGGGCAGATTACAAGGCAATGGCAGCACCTCCAGTAAATTAATACAAGTAGCTGTGTGCGTATTTGAGAAAAAGTACTCTGCCATAGCTGACTTGTTTTTGAACTATTAAAATTGTTTTACAGTTGTTCTATTTACTTTTATGATTAGAAAGCAAAGTTGTTTTCCTTGAACTACAGCCTCAGTGTAAGAATATGAGTTGTTGTCATTAAGTGCCATTGAATTGGTTTTGACTCATAGGGACATTGTGCAGGGTTTCTGTGGAACAGCTGGTGGGTTTGAACTGCCAATCTTGTGATTCTTACTTAGCCCAGTGCTGGTCCTACAGTGCCACCCCAGGAGTCTAAGAATATGAGTAGTACCCTTGTTTCAGAACTTATCAAGCTTCATATATGTCCCTGAAAGTTGGTGTCAGTTTATTTTTTGAAGCCATAGTCTTTTTCAGTTGATGTAGTATAATTTTAGAAATGTTATATATCTTTTTTTGGGTTTTCTGTATTATCTTCAATTGACAATAGTAGCCTAGTACCTGACTTGTTTAGTGTCTGAATTTCTGCTGAGGGTTTATCTGTATATCCTTTTATCTTAAATGTATGAAAGGAGCTATAATTTGAAAGGAATTCCATATGTATCTCTCTGAAAACAGAATGCTTTTGTAGTCTAATATAGCCTAGCTTTACTTGTGTATAAGTTTGAACTCTTAAGTTATCGATTGTCCCTTTATTAAATATCAGTTCCTCTTATTATCCTTGGCAAGGTTGATAACTGAAAGATAATAAAATTTAAGGATAATTTTTTTAATCTCTTGATGCATACTTTAATAATGAATCTATGTCAAGTTTACTCATTTATTTAGGGTGGAAGGTTTGCCTGCTGGAAAAAAGATGTGTTATTCCTGTCCCTGAGGGCACAATGGATGGAAGTGCCAGATTGCATTTTCCTATAGTCTCAGTCCTTGCTATCTACTTTTCTGTGCCCTTTAACTTAACTATAAATTGGCAAATACATGGGAAAGGATTTCTTTTTATCTCTCCTCCCCCTCCCCTTTGAATCTAGGGATATGTGCATCCTTTTTGCATAACAGCAAATTGAAAGAATTAGCTTGAATTTGGCTGTCTTTAATGTTTCAGAAGAGTAGTGGAAACTGCCTTGTATTTTGGCAATATCCTTTTGTATCATTTCCCCACTCTCCCGAACCCCATAAATTATTTCAAAGAACTTTACTGTCATTATTTTAGGCTTCATTTTATTATTAATCCTCAAAACATTCCTATAAGGAGATCGAGGGTATATGGTATTGTCGCTGTTTTTGTAGGTGGGAAAACATGATGCACAGATCTGTTGACTTTCCTAACTTGATGTAGTCAGGACCAGAACAAAGAACCACCTGGCTCCTAAGGCCCATGTTCTATCTTGATTTGACTCTGCTTCATAGAGCAGAGGAAACAGGCGAAGGATCATGTAAGTCATCTGTTCTTTTTTCCATGAAGATCTGTTACAGACTATGGAACTGGCTTGGATTTCTTTACTATTTAATGGCTTTCAGTCTCCAAGATAGTAAATCATCATTAAGTAATGTTCAAAAACTAAAATGTATGACAGTTAAGTTAATTAAAGGTATGCTTCTGAACAACAACAACATGCTTCTGAAATGCAAGGGCTAGCATTTTATTTAGATTTAATTTAATGTAAAATTGCTTATCAGTATGTACAAAATAGTTTTAACCAGCTATTTCTTTAGATTGACTTTTTTCTTGAACGGTATTTAGGACATTTTTTTAGATACTTATGCATCATTTAAAAATGAGTGCATGCTATTTGCTTAATGTAAGAGAATATTGAGTTCTCATTCTCAGCCCCTGAGAGAGAAGAGAAGGGATAGAATAGAAGGAAATCAAGAATGGCAGTATAAACATGTTCAACTAAAAGTTTTAAGTAGTGCTTTGGACTAGAAGTAGTAGTGTGGATTAGATTTCTGAGCATAAAATGAATACAAGAAGTATAATTTTGAAAAGATTGACTGTTTCAAATATCAGTTAGGTACTAGTGTAATAGTGACAAATTTTTTAAAAAGATATATTTCACTCTTGACTACCTTTGATAAAGGAGCAGTAAAGCCTGTTGGTAAAGGACAAGCAGTATGTCAGAATCCTTTGGCTGGAAATGATTAGGTTCCGCCTTATAACGACACCAGAAATATCTTAAGGTACCGTCTTTGTTTTGTTTCCCATGGTTAACATATTTAAATGCTGGGGAGCATATTAAGCTCATATTTCACCTGGATTTGGTCACTTTCAAATACTGTTAACCCCTTTAGGGGGTCAGGATCAAATTGACCGTCAGGCTACTCCTGTGTCCTCTCGAGGGGCAATGTGGTATCTTCAGAGATCCACTTTGAGATTTCACAGAGGAGTTTCATGTTTTGAACAATGATTGTTACTCAGTGGATGGTAGAGAACTATGTGATTTCATGCTTTGCTCCCATGATAGCCCACTCATAAAGTTAAAATTTAGGTGATCAAAACTCATTGGTTAAATTAGTTATTTTTATATTATAGAGGAACCAAACTCATCATTTCCAGCCTTACTTTATTGTAATAACTTAGTGATGCATTATTTTAAAGTAGTACATTTTCAGCTATTGACTTATTTTTGTGCCTCAACTTTTCATTTTTTTAAACAGTGGTATAGGATAATATTATTTACACAGAAAGTAGTAATACCACATTAGGTTATAGCCAAGGAAAGCTTCTGTTTTTATTGTCTTAAAGTCATTTCTATTGTTCCAGGTAAAACTGATGAACTGCCCTGTAAACTTTCACTCAATTCACAATAAAAACTTAAAAAAAATCATTTCTAGTATTATTTGGATCTTGTGATTTTTTATATAATAATACCTAATCTGACTAAGTGTTATCATTTAATTCTGAAATGAGATTAGTTTGGTAGTATTAATAATCTTCTTGAACAGAAGTAGTAAGAGTGTTGGAGAGGTTAAGGCAATTAAATGGAGATTACCCAACCTCTTGAGTGATAGACTTGGGATTCAAACCTAGTACCTTCTTACCTCTGGAGTCTATACTAAAAAAGCATTCTTGAGATACAGCATCCAGAGAATAACAGTTCTATAGAGCACTTATAGGAATGGTCTCTGAACAAATTTGGCATAATAAGCTATGCTCAGACTGGTTGTCTCATGTGTTGCAAGAGTTATCTTTGATATCTTAATTTTATTTGTGCTGTAATGTGGAAGTTTGTATTTTTTGGTGTGGATTTAAGGCCTTTTGTGTTTAGAGTTTTTTGTAATAGTATTTATTCTTTGTGACATTATTTTAAGTGAACTTTAGCAACTTTCTTAACTTGAGATATTTACTATATCTTCAGTCACCAAAATATAGACAGGTAATAGAGTTATTCTATTCTTCATTACCCTGATTGAACTAAGTAATACAGAAAGGTAGAAAATACTCAGCAGTTATACTTATTCAGCACTAATTGAAATATGTATCTTAGATTCAAACACAGCATTAGGGAGCACTTTCCAATTTTTTCATAAAACTTAGCTTACTGCAGTGTTGAAGTTGGGGTATTTTATGTTTTAGGTAATGGGAAGTGTTATATATAGCTTGTATGTATGGTAATCTTACAAATAATAAGAATTATCATTTTCTTTGTGGCACATATTTATATCCTAAATAAAGTTTATATATAGAAAGGTATTTAAGTGAAAAGAATTCAGGAGTTGGTTTGAAAAATGAAACTTTTATTTGTACTGAGTTTCATAAAGGTTAATTACAATACATGTAATACAAGCATGTTTTTTAGTTTCAGTACAAAACGGTTCGATTCATCAAAAAGATGCTGTAAATGATGATGATTTTGAGCCATACCTAAGTAGCCAGACAAATCAGGTAAGTTTTCCTACAGTCTTATATTTTAGATAGTTAAAACTTTGATTAGTACTGAACGATTTTCAAATAGATAGTTTAATTAATTGAGACTAACTACAGCATAACTGTGATATGCTTACTTACTAGTGAATAGGAGTTGCAGGTTTATGATTTATGATACTATAGCTGACTGAAACTTGATTCTAAAATATAAAGTAAACATTTAAAGGTGAAAATGATCTCTATGCTTTATTTTCCTGCAATGTTGACAGAATATAATCGTTCCACTATCACTGCCATATTTTCATTGCTAAAATAAATTGTTGTTAATTGCTATGGAGTCTATTCTGACTCATAGAGACCCTGCATCAGGTTTCCCAGGAGAGACTGATGGGTATGAACCGCCAAACTTGTGATTAGCAGACGAGTGTTTATCCTACAGCACCACACCAGAGCTCCAAAGCAAATTGAAAGGTGTGATTACCCAAACGTTTGGTGAGATGGGACAATTATTAGTTTGTGCCTGAAGTTTTTTGGTAAATGTGTTTTCTTTCTATAAAGCATTCCCATTTTAATTTCATGGAGAATTATTTAGAGTTATTAACTTTGTAATTTTTCAGGGAGTAGAATTAAAGATTTTATAAACAACTGATTCAATATTGTATATTTTATCAAATTGAATAACTAGCTGATAGCTTTTGATATTTATGTTCAAATTTTCACAATTATGTAATCTGGGTTGCGTACAGAAGTGGTTTAGATTTAATCATTGAGAAACAATTGCTGGTCTTTGTGTATATCGTGATATCTGTGTTGTCTTCATCCATTTCTGTTTGCTAATAAAAAATATGTCACTTCTGGAAATACATTATCTGTATTGCCTTGTTTCTTTAGAGAAAACTTTCTGGAATGAAACTTTTATAAAAAAATTTAAAACATTCCTTTGTAGAATATACAGTTGTTGCTGTTAAGTGCTGTCGAGTCAGTTCTGACCCACAGCGACCCTGTATAGGGTTTCCGAGGAGTGACTGGTGAGCATGAACCGCTGACCTTGCAGAGGACTATAAAAAGTTGTGGTTGTATAGAACCTGAATTATCGCTTGGCCGTTTTTCTTTAATTACTGCCTTCTATCTACTGAACTGCATTTCTAGGATATATTAGGAGGGAAGTGGTGTGGTGCTGCGGGTTAATGTGCTGGACGGCAAAGTCAGTCGGCGGTTCGAGCTCAACAGCTGCTCCTTGGAATTCCTATACAGGGTCACTATGAGTTGAAACAGCTTTAAGGCACTTAACAACAACAGCAATCATTGGGAAAGAATGAAAATTGATGACGCAATAAATGAAAGTTTGGTTGCTCTTAAAAGAATAAAGTCTACCTGTATTTATAAAATTGAATTTTATTATTATGTCAGTAGCAAATTTACTTTTCACTTATAGGTTGTCAGAAACTTATGAAAAAATGTGGGAAGATCATTTGTTATGAAACTTGAGCAAGTTTTTAAAGAACTATGCTTATTATATCCAGGACCTTAGAGTATCTTAATGCCCTTTATGGCAATGCTTTGCTACTTCTTTGTAAGGAATTCTGTAGATTAAATAGCTGGATTGCTGTTTTTAATTTATGTAATCTCGGTGTGGTGGTGTAAGATCAGCATTGGACTGCAAACCAAACCCACCAGCTGATCCTCTGAAATCCTATACAGAGTCACTATGAATTTGAACCAACTTGATGGTAGGCAATTAACAACAAAAGTATAATTTATATATTATAAAGTGAATTTCAAGGAGGCTATAGTATAAAGTTCCTCTAACTTGTTGCAACTGTTTTCAAGGGTGTTTAGTTTGGCATTTGCTACCTGAGAGGATCCTATATTACTTGTTTTAATTACTAACAGATTCTTTATACGTTTTCATTGTCACAGGGACTTGTTATGTGCCATTCATTCGGTTCTAACTCACAGTGACCCTGTATCGGGTGGCTGGTGAGTTTGAACTGCTGGCCGTGTAATTGAAACTAACCATATGGTCCTTCACTTATCTTATAGAACCACACTTAGACACCTATAGTGAGGGTACATACATATTTAATATATAAAGGTATCTTTAAAACCATTTTCTAAGAAAAGGCCATAGACATTTGCCTTAGTGAACTCAAATAATTTGAAGTGTGATTCCAGTAAGCAGTATCCTACCTCTCGCCTTACTAGGCTAAAGTAAACTAGATGTTTGTAGGTCTTTCTATAGTGCTAAACATAATTATCCATAATGAGGGTTGTTAAGTGCAATCGAGTCGGTTCAGACTCATAGAGACTCAGTATATGGTTTCTGATGAGTAGCCAGAACATGAACCACTGGCCTTGTAGCTGAAACCAACATTGTTGTCCTGTGCTTATCCTACAGCACCATGCCTGGACTCCTAATAATGAGGGTACATTTGTTCTTGTTGTTGTGTGCTGTGGAGTTGGTTCCAACTCATAACGACCCTGTATAGGGTTTCCGAGGCTGTAAATCTTGATGGGAGCAGAAAGCCTCATCTTTCTCCCGCGGAACAGTTGGTAGTTTTGAACTGTTGACCTTGTGGTTCCCAGCCCGATTCGTAACCACTGCGCTACCAAAGCTCCTTAATGAGGATACATACATATTTAAGTTATGAAGGATACTAAATGTTTCTTAAAAGCAATCAAGAATTATTGGAAATTTTTAAGGTAAATTATACAAGTATTTAAGTAACTTGTATTTACCCTAGTTAAGTAGAAATTAAAAACTGTTCTGACTTTTCAAATAGTGCTATCACAGAACATTAATAAGAATTGGATTTCATTGTTAAAATGTCTCAATGTGCCAGTTTAAAGTTATATAACTATTTAAATTAAGTTCGTTGTACTTACCTAGCTTAAGTAATTAAATATTTTTCAACTAAATATTGTAGTGCATCTTTAAAATTAAATCCCTTTGCCTAATTTAACTAAAGTTCGTCTTTTGAAGGTAAAGATGTTTTTGACCAGTGATTGAAATTGTTTCATACACTTTAGATCAGTTGACTTTTGACATTTGATTGATTCAGATGAAACCCAAGGATAAAATGTCAGCTTTTCAGGTCTTAAAATTAGGTTTCCTCAACAGTGCTTCAGAATACATTGATTGAAAATTATGATTTTAATTGATATGGCTTAAAATGTCAGAGAATTTATGCATTTACATTTGAAGAATCAATTGGGAAACTAAAGTTTGTACTTGTCTTCTTGAATATTTGGGAAAATAAACTTCTACTCATGTTTATCAAAAAAGGTATGGAGAATTAAGAAAATAAAATAACATTTTAAATTTTGTTTCTATGACTGCCCTTACTTAGTTCAGATTTTTGTTATCTGTGTGCTAATATTTTCTAACTGGTTTTTCTGTATTGTCACTCAGCAATCTCCATATACCTCAAGTCTAAAGATGTCTGTGACATGTTAAAGAATTACCACAAGTTTGGAGTGAGGATGCATTTACTACATGCAGATCCTTAAAACAGCTTCCCTTCCTTCTCTATCTTTTGTCAACGTTCTCCATCAAAGTTATCCAAGAAAATAAAGTTACAGATTTTTTTGAAAATATAATTTTTTTCATGATCAGAGTCTTCCCAGTTTCTGTGTATGTTTTACATGCACACGTAGTTCTTTTTTTATTTCTGGGTTATTTGTTTCCTCCTGTTTCACGAGAGTGGTTGTTTTGTTTGTGCATTCAAATACAGCACCTGTGGTATTGTAGGATTAATATGCCTTTCCCACTAGGCTGCAAAGTGCTCCCTGTCAGAGACTTGGTCTTTTAGTCCTGAGTGCCTGGCACCTAACCACCCACTGTCCAACTCATAGCAATCCTTTATGGGGTTTCCGAGGCTATAAATCTTGTGGGAGAAGAAAAACTTCCCTCTCTCTTGCAGAGCAGCAGGTGAACTCAAACTGCATAACATAGGTTTTCTGAAAAAATCCTTATTATATGTCTATTCCTGTTGCTGCTGCTGTGTGCTATCAAGTTGATTCTGACTCATAGAGATCTTATATTTGGTTTCTGAGACTGTAAATCCTTGACAACCTTATCTTTCTGCTGCAGAGCCAACTGGTGGATTCAAATTACTACAGATGATGCTTTTAAAAAAAATAATAGATGGTACTTTTTATAATATTAAAAAATTTTTAATAGCAGTTTTTCTTAAGACATCCTTATGTACTCAGATGATACTTCTAAAAACTGTACAATCATTTATAAAATAGTAGAAGGAAATTTGACATGCAAATGTTAATTTACATTTTGAGAATTAGGAAGTCAGTGCAGGATTTTGAAAAACCTTGAATTCTTAAAAGGAGTCCTGGTGACCCAGTGGCTAGAGAACTCAGTTGATAAAATTTCAGTAGCTTGAATCCACCAGCTGCTCTGTGGCAGCAAGATGTGTCAGTAGTCTGCTTCCATAAAGATACGCAGTCCTGTATACCCCATTGGGCAGTTCTACTCTGTCCTGTAGCATTGCTATGAATCAGAATCGACTTAAAGACAATGGGTTTGGTTTGGGGGTTCTTTTAGAAATTATGTGTTAAATATATACAACGGTTAATTGGTATTTGGGATATGTATTTGAATGGAAATAAGCTGTGAACTTTAATAGCAATTTCTATTAGGTAATCATTTCTCCCTGTAATTCAAAAATCAAAAAGGCAGACATATATAATATAGCTCATATTTAAGATCACACACAACTTATATATAAGATTTCTAGAAGTTTACATTTTATTAAAAGTAAAATGCCAGATCTCAGAATTATTCTACCTGATTCTCTTGGGGATTTGCGTGATTGGATTTTGAAGACAGCAGTTAAGTGAGGTACTCTGAGCTCTACAATCCAAAAAGGTAAAACTCTTCCCTTAAGTCAGTAAATATTCTCTATCCCAGAGTTGTAATTTAATCAGGGTTGAGCATGGACCCAGTTTAAACCAATGACATCCTATGCAGATGTGAAGGAAGACAGAAAAGGAAGGGGGAAAAACTGGTCATAATCTTGGAGGTAGAAATTCAGAATCTTCCTGAAGCTTTCCCTACCTTTGTATTTAAAAAAAAATCTATGGGCACCATTAATTTACTTTTGGTTTAAGCCAGTTTGAGTTCTGTTGGCTGCTACTTGGACCTAAAGATTTTTGGTAGATACTCTCTATGTTAGGAGCTCTGGTAGCGTAGTGGTTATGAATCAGACTGCGAACCGCAAGGTCAGCAGTTCGAAACTGGCAGCCGTTCCACGGGAGAAAGATGAGGCTTTGTGCTCCCGTAAAGATATACAGCCTTGGAAACCCTGTACAGGGTCGCTATGAGTCGGAACCGACTCCACGGTACATAACAACAACAATATGGAAGTAATACTCATTTTGCTTTATACAGAAGTAGTGGTTTGGTGGTGGTAGTTTGCCTGCTAACTGGTACCAACCCATAACAATCCTGTATAGGGTTTCTTAGCCTGTAAATCTGGGAGCAGAAAGCCTTGTCTTTCTCTCAAGGCTCAGGTAGTGGATTTGAACTGTTTGCCTTGTGGTTAGCAGCCCAACATGTAACCCACTACACCACTAGGACTCTTTATGCAGAAGTATTAGCTGTTATTGCTCTATTTTGCCTCTTAGAAATTGTATTGGTACATAATAAGGCAAAAATATTAAGTTATAACTGACAGACAGTTACAATTTAGTTGTATAACAATGTCCTCATGTCTGTACAGTTGTAAGAACTTTTTCTTATTGTTCAGCTTTTTCTTGAGATATTAGAAAACCAATTTATCTACATCAGTAAGTTTGTTGTTGTCATGTCTGCAGACACAGCTACCCTGTATAAGGTTTCCAAGCTTGATGAGTTTGAATTGCCGACCTTGCAGTTGAAAGCTTAGCTTAATAAATAAATGACGTTTTAAGAAAACCTTTCTTCTTTTTTATAGTTTAGTATTCAAATTAAAACCAAAAACTTAAGGTAAAAAACTATGTTGTGTGCTGTGGTGTCGGTTCCGACTCATAGTAACCCTGTATATACCGGATTTCTGAGGCTGTAAATCTTTCCGGGAGCAGAAAGTGTCATCTTCACCTACAGAACTGTGGGTAGCTTTGAACTGCTGGTATTGCAATTAGCAGCCTGACTTGTAACCACTATGCTACCAGAGCTCCTTCAATAGCACTTAACTCTCTTCTTGCTCTAAACTACTAGAGCGAAAACCTAAGCCTTTCTAAAAACAAAACAAAAAACAAACCCATTGTCATCAAGTAGATTCTGACTCATAGCAACTCTTTGTAAAAAATTAGTGTCTTGGTGTGGCTCTATAGGATAAGCACGGAACTGTTAACCTCAAGGTTGGCAGTTCAAATCCACCAGCCCACTCCCCAGAGACCTTATACAGGGTCACCATGCATTTGAGCCAACTCTACAGCACTCACCAACAGAAAGAATTGAAAAATAAATGTGATTAGCATTTTTTATAAACAAAGGGCCACCTATACAATGTACTTATGGATTCTAATCAAGTTGTTATCACACCCCAATGTGTCAGAATAGAACTATTCCATAGAGTTCTGCTGATTAAATATATATAGCATCAGCCCTTGCTTCCAGGGCACCCTGAGTGAACTTGAATTCCAGTATTTAACAGCCAAGTGTATTAACTTTTTGCTCAGTTCAGGGGTTAGTAGTAGCACTTTGAACATTTCTGTAATCAGCAACAGCAGTCTAGCCAAAGCTGATTGACTGATTGATGGTAACTGTATTGAAAACACATTTTTCTTTCTTTTAAGTTTATTAGCAATAGCACCTAATGGAGCACTTTTAATAGTTTAGACTTTTATGATTTAAACTATATAATTTCTATAAGATCACTAATTTAGGAAAGACTAGTAAAAGTAGCCCAGGTATGGCATTGTAGGGTGCTGAGTACCTACTGCAGAGTTGGTGGTTCAAACCCACCAGCTTTTCCTTGGAAATGCTATACAGGGTCACTAAGAGTCAGGAGTGACTCAATGGCACTTAACAACAAAGTAACTAAAAGTAATGAGTTTTAAAGAATAATTATATCTAATAAATGTTATCATACCCAGGAGGAATTGGGTCTGTTTCCCAACCATTGAGGTGAAAGAACTGGGAGTGTGGTGTGGGGTTGTTCATTGAAGAAATAACCTAAATTAGGCTACTAGATTAAACCAGGGATGGATAAATCCTTGCCCTGCTTTTGTTTAACCATTGAGCTTTTGAAAAGGTTAAAAAAAAAAAAAAATTAATATGTAGCAGAGACTGGATGTGACTCTGTAGCCCTTTAATTTGTAAACCCCTGAATTCAACTATGACTAAAGACAAAATAAGAGGTTAATATGTAGCTTTTTGTAGAATTCAGCGATTATAATGGTGAAATAATAATCACCATAAGTTGAGTATAATTTTAGAGAAAGCATGAACTTAAAAACTTTCTATCTGATCTGCTTTTTAAATCCCACATCCAGGCAAGGACTAAGGCCAAATACCCCTGCCAACATTTAAACATAGACACTTAGTACCTTTCTATTCAGTCGAGTTCTACTCTTCCTCCATATGTAATGTATTCACTTCCCCATTTTTTTCACTTAACTATGCATTGTTTCTTTGGCAATTTGTTAAATATTAAGATTATGATAGAAAAGGATGTGTTTGAGTAATTCTGTTTAAAATATAAAGACAAAATTTTAAATCTTTTCGTTGATTTTATATGTTCATTTACACTAGCTGAAATTCGGTTAATCCCCCTCCCTTTGGAGTTTTATATTTCATTGACTGACTTATAGACAGTTGCATCAGTTGCAGGGTGTGTCTCAAGTGACTTGTTAGAAATAATAAAGCATGTCAGTTTAAAGTGATACGCTTTTAAAAAAATAACTTAGAATAAAATTAAGGTAGTATCTGTGATACCATATATTTGTATTGATATGTTTTCTTGTTTGTCCTAGTGTGACGCTGTAGGATAAGTGCCGGACCGCAGGGTCTGTGTGCAAAGTCACCAGTTCACACCCACCAACAATCCCCTGGAAACCTATACAGGGTTGCTATAAGTCGGAACTGACTCAGTGGCACTTAGCCACAATAGCAACTTGTCTTGAGTGGGGAGACAGCTGCAGAATAGTCCACAGAGTATACCAGCAGTACAATGAGTTGAGACTTTTGCTCCAATGATGTGGACCTTTGCTCCACATCAACACTACTGGTGTGTTTGAACCACCAACCTTATTGTGGTTATATTAGCAGTCCAGTGCTTATCCTGCAGCACCATACCAGGGAGCTTAGAATAAGATTGTCTCTACATATGACGTGAGTCGCAAATCTCCAAAATGGTGTTGACCATTGCAAGGAAATGCTAGTTCGGACTTAGTGGAATTTTTACACCTTAAGTATAAATTCTAAAACTCTAAGGCTTTTGAAATCATGCTTAATCAAATGATTGAGTATCTATAATTAGATAATTATTTGGCATAAGAAACCCATTTTAAATGAAATCCCTAAAAAAATTTTACATTCACTTCTGAAGGAATGCATTTCAGTATGTTTTATATTGAATTTGGTGTCTTGATTTTGGCAGATCAGTAAATGACCATCTATTATGCACTGTCAAAGTCGATCTAATTTTAGTGGTTCTAATCAGGAAAGTAATAACTTGTCTAAAGTTTAAACAACAGAAAAATGGGTTTCTGTTATATTTGGAAATAACATGTTAGGATTTTATTTTGTTTTGAGTATGAACAAGCAAAACCAACAAATCTGGGTTATACTCTAGGCATCTCAGAGTCCTGGTGTGGCGCTGTAGGATAAGCACTAGACAGTAAAGTTACTTTTGGTTTGAACTGCAGTGTTGGCGGTTCAAACCCACCAGCTGTTCATTAGAAATGCTATACAGAGTTGCTGTGAGTCAGAACCAACTCGATGACACTTAACAACAATAGGCATCTTAGATCTTTTTTTCCCCCTTTACAGTATGAGCATTTCCCCATTTTTGTTTACTTATGAAAGCACAGTATTTGATAGCTGAACTGATTCTTATTATATGAACTAAGTCCTATATTTGATGGTTTGATTGTTAATTTTTTAATAAAGCAGTTGTTTAAAAATACAGCTGGCAAAATCTGTAGATCTGCATTTTGTAGAAATTACAGATTCTATTAATGATTACCTTTTTAGTGACAAAATCTATAGATCTGCATTTTGTAGAAATTACAGTATTAATGTTTCCAGAGGAGCTAGTTTTCAAAAACGACCCAAACCTTATAAGTGATTTTTAACAAGTATTTTTTAAGAGTGGTTATTAGCTCATTTTTCTGTTGCTAAGATTTGTTTTGTAATTTGTAAGTTTAATGTTAGTTACAACAGGTTTGTCTTTTTCATTTATATGAAACTGTTTGGTTTTAATCTTTCATATGTCTTTATTTTTTTCTTTTTACTTAACTCTTGAGGACATTTCGCTACTGATTGCCATCTTTTGTTTTCCAGAGTAACAGCTATCCACCAATGTCAGATCCATACATGCCTAGTTACTATGCTCCATCCATTGGATTCCCATATTCTCTTGGTGAAGCAGCATGGTCGACTGCTGGAGACCAACCTATGCCATATCTGACAACCTATGGACAAATGAGTAATGGAGAACATCATTATATACCAGATGGTGTATTTAGTCAACCTGGGGCATTAGGAAATACCCCTCCGTTTCTTGGTCAACATGGATTTAACTTTTTTCCTGGTAATGCTGATTTCTCTACATGGGGTACAAGTGGATCTCAGGGACAATCAACACAAAGTTCTGCTTATAGTAGCAGTTATGGCTATCCACCTAGTTCTCTTGGGAGAGCTATTACTGATGGACAGGCTGGATTTGGCAATGACACTTTGAGTAAGATGCCTGGCATAAGCAGTATTGAGCAAGGCATGACTGGACTGAAAATTGGTGGTGACCTGACAGCTGCAGTGACAAAAACTGTAGGTACAGCCTTGAGCAGCACTGGTATGACGAGCATTGCAACCAATAGTGTGCCCCCAGTTAGCAGTGCAGCACCTAAACCAACCTCCTGGGCTGCCATTGCCCGAAAGCCTGCGAAACCTCAACCGAAACTTAAACCCAAGGGCAATGTGGGAATAGGGGGTTCTGCTGTGCCACCACCTCCTATAAAACACAACATGAATATTGGAACTTGGGATGAAAAGGGGTCAGTGGTAAAGGCTCCACCAACCCAACCAGTTCTGCCTCCTCAAACTATAATCCAGCAGCCTCAGCCATTAATTCAACCACCACCTTTGGTGCAAAGCCAACTGCCTCAACAGCAGCCTCAGCCACCACAACCACAGCAGCAACAAGGACCTCAGCCACAGGCCCAGCCTCATCAAGTGCAGCCCCAACAACCACAGCTGCAGAATCGCTGGGTAGCTCCTCGTAACAGAGGAGCAGGTTTCAATCAGAGCAATGGAGCGGGCAATGAAAACTTTGGTTTAGGTGTTGTTCCTGTCAGTGCTTCACCTTCTAGTGTGGAAGTGCATCCCGTGCTGGAAAAGCTAAAGGCCATAAACAACTATAATCCCAAAGACTTTGATTGGAACCTGAAGAATGGACGTGTGTTTATAATCAAAAGTTATTCTGAAGATGATATACATCGTTCCATTAAGTACTCTATCTGGTGTAGTACTGAGCATGGTAATAAGCGTTTGGATGCAGCTTACCGTTCCCTGAATGGGAAAGGTCCACTCTATTTACTCTTCAGTGTGAATGGTAGTGGACATTTTTGTGGAGTGGCTGAGATGAAGTCTGTGGTGGACTATAATGCATATGCTGGTGTCTGGTCTCAGGATAAGTGGAAGGGCAAATTTGAAGTTAAATGGATCTTTGTTAAAGATGTCCCCAATAACCAATTACGGCATATTCGTTTAGAAAATAATGACAACAAACCAGTTACCAATTCAAGGGACACTCAAGAGGTACCCCTAGAAAAAGCTAAGCAAGTGCTTAAAATAATTGCTACTTTCAAGCATACCACCTCAATCTTCGATGACTTTGCACATTATGAAAAGCGTCAAGAAGAGGAGGAAGCCATGCGTAGGGTAAGAGTACAGCAACTTTTGTGTATAGGGTCTTTTACTAAGGGTGGGATCATGTATGAGTATCCTTAATACATTGAGTTTAAGAACTTTACTCTGTGGGAAACTAACCAGTATAAGAAAATGCTACAAATTCTCCTTGAAGGCTTCTGTGCCCTTTCTGAGTAATTCCTTTTCAAGAGTAAACCCTACTTTGAATTTGCTTCCTGCATATTCATACTACTTGCTGTTCATCAAAGTTGATCGAGTTCTATGTTTTGATTTAAGTAGAGTTTTATGTTCCTAGGTAGCATAAAACTGTATGCATGCTAACTGAATGGTTGGTAGTTCAAGTATGAAAAAATGGTGATTTACTTTTGAAAAATAAGCCATTGAAAATCCGTGGAGCACAGTTCTTACTCAGTTATATATAGGGCCTGATTTGGAATCAACTCAATGTCACTTTTTTTTTTAGACAATTTGTAAACTTATCTCATGAGAAAATGTGTTTGGTGTTTGAAGCAAAGAACTTTTAAATAAATTTTTGAATATTTACTCTGTGTATCTATGAGAAATAATTTTTGTTTTTTTAGCCTAAAACTTCTGAAGCATTTTTGTAATTTGTTTACTAAAAGTACTTGTACAAAATACACAGTGAGGATTGTACATTAGAGAATCAGCTTAGAGATGGAAAGAACATGCAGAGTTTGATATCTGATTTTATTTTCCTTTTGTGTGTTTGTATCATTCTGGCCATAATTTGCTTATAGGACTACTTAGGGTTGGGCAGTGTTTTCTCTTCTGAACTATAAGAGAAAGTTTGGGGCCTCTTGTTAAGAGGAAAGAAAGAGTGAATGTTGGAATAGCTAACCAGCTAATTTTTTTCATAGTCAATGCATTTAAACTTCTTTTCAAAGGAAGCAGGGGGTAAACTTAAAAGCTCTTCTAACAATCTTTGTTATATGGAAACCTCCTGTATAGAAAATTAAGATAAAGCAGGAATTTAATTCTCTATCTGTACAAAATGTGATGCTCTTGTTTCATTTCTGTGTGTGAACTTATATGTCTTAGGCTTCTTGGTTCTGCACAGATGGGGACTGCTTCATCCAACATTCCTCAGTGGTGAGTGAAGTTAAAATGATTCTTAGTGCAGTAACTTTCAAACCTTAAGATCTTTTAAAAGCATTTGGGATGCTGGTGTACATTTTTAAGAAGTACCCCATGTGATTCTGGTGATAGTGATTGCTGTATTTAACTATTAGGAACTTTGCCTTGGAGTAATAAAAATGACCAAGGCCCTGGCTGAGTTTAACTTTTAATTGTTGGATAAAATTGAACTTTATAGATAAAGACATCTTTTAAAGAAGCTGTGTACAGGAATATTTATTATTATTAATCCAAATAAGTTGAAACCTAACTACCCCTGCTGCCACTGAGTCGATTCTGACTCATAGTGACCTTATAAAACAGAAGAGGACTGTTCCCTAGGGTTTCCGAGACTGTAAATCTATGAGAACAGTCTAGTCTTTCTCCCACAGAGTGGATTTGAATCAACAATCTTGCCGTTAGCACTCCAGCACTTAACCCACTACTTTATTCAATATTGTAGTAAAATGTTTTCTGTACATGAACTCATTATAGGATGAGCTGATTTTTAGATAATTTAGAGAAATTGGACAGTCGAATCTTTCATTAAGCGTGGTTTTTGTACTTAAAGCAATTGATTTCCATGGAAGTCGGATGAGATTATCCAAAGGAGAAAAGATTTATGTCAAGGAAATAATGATCAACCTTTTTTCCTTCCTCGTCTAGAGAAACAGTGTTAGTTAAATGTCTTCTCTACCCTAGTCTATAGTGTCAAAATTTTATTATTTTTAATATGTCATTGTTTTCAGGAGTTATTTATGATATTAATATTGTTTCATAACTGCATAAAACCAAAACCAAACCAACTGCCAGCAAGTCAGTTCCAACTCATACTGACCAAAGAGCTTCTGAGACCATTTTGAACCGTAATAGACCTTGCAAATGGCATACATACACAAAGATTTAAACTTACACATTTTAATTGTTTTGTGGTTTACTGCCAGTCTTGTAACGGATCTAACCCACTTTTGACTTTTTTTTATTTTGCTTCTTATTTAACTTATTTCTATCATTTTAATTTTTTTTTTTTTTTAAGGAAAGCTAAGTAACATATTTTAAACCTTTACAGATCCAGACGTATCTTTCTTTGGCTCTGTAACTTGAATAACAGTTTAGGTGGGTATGGTGCTATGGGTTAATTTGTTGTACTGCAAAGTCGGTTTGAACCACAAGGTTGGCCGTTCCTTGAGAACCCTGTATGGGTCACTATGGGTTGAAACTGACTTTATGGCATTGAACAACATTCTTGGGCTACATATTTTTCCACTCAAAATAATGTAGGTTTTGCTTTATAGTTTTATAATATAGAGTAGTCTGCATTTTCTTAATATGTAAATAGGCTGTTTTGTGTTCACAAAAGATTTTTATTATTTTTTCTTGTAATTTTTGTATGAGAGATGTGTAGAAAACCAGACCCACTGCCATTGTGTTGGTTTTGATTCATAGCTGCTCTATGGGACAGAGTAGAATTGCTCCATACTATATCTGACACTATAAATCTGTACTTAAGTAGACAGCCGTATGTTTCTCCTGCAGAACAGGTGGTGAGTTCAAATTGTTTGCCCTTTGGTTAGAAGCCCAGCACTTAACCCACTGGACCACCAGGGCTTCTTTGAGGGAAGTGTATAGTATGAATTTAGGATTTTCCTTAGTCTTTAGTCTAGAAGCCCAGTTTTTTTTTTTGTTGTTTTTTCTATTCTCTAGCAATATTGACTTACTATATTTGCTTTGCTTTGTGTGGATTATTATTCTGAAATTTTGAATTTGTTTGCCTAATTGAATCCAGCTCCCTTTTACATTCCTTTTCTCTTTTTTCCCCCCACCATTTTACTTTAGATGAAAATTTAAACAGCAGTTGTTTTCCATTCAGCAATTCATGTGCAAATTGCTTTCTGACTTTGGTTGCTGTCCTAGCAAAGGGTCTGCACTTTCCAAATCCCACCCTGCCTTACCTGTTTCTATCTCTAGTTTCCTTGCCATCTTATCTTTTGCTTTGGAATAAACTTTGCCTGTTTGATTTCATTTAGTTGATTGTTATAAGGAGCACATTCCTTATGGATGTTCTGCTAATTTTTTTATGCCAATCTATTATAATTTGCTAGAACAGAACTTCTGATAGTGATCTTAGTTCTAGGTTGAAAGAATGTCTCAGGGCAATAGTTTCAGGTTCTTCCACTCTCCTGTATTATAAATATGAGTTTTGTTCTACATTTTTCTTCCATTTTTAACTAGGACCTTTTAATTTCCCATTGTCAAAGCTATTGGTAGAAGTTGCTGAGTGGTGGTGGTGGTGATGTGCCGTGGCTGTAAATCTTTACAGGAGCAGAAAGCCGGTAGTTTCGAACTGCTGGCCTTGCGGTTCACAGCCCGATTCGTAACCACTACGCTACCAGAGCTCCTTAAGTTGCTGAGTTGTTGTTAAGTGCCATCGAGTTGGTTTTGACCTATAGCAACCCTGGATAGGGTTTCTGAGGAGCAGCTGGTGAGTGTGAACCCCCAACCTTGCAGTTCAAATGGTTTTGCAGTCTGGCACATTAACCCACAGCGTCACAACAGGACTCCCAAGTTGCTGAGTACAATCTAGTTATTCTGGACTCAGGATAGAAGAGGCCATAGTTCATGTTGGTGACTAGTTCTGTGGACTTTTTTTTTTTTTTTTTTTTTTTAGCCTTTGGTTTCTTCACACTACTTTGCTCCAGACAGGAAGAGATCAATAGTTGTAGCTTAAATGCCCGCTCTTAAACTTGTAAGACCCCAGATACTATGCACCAAACAGGGATATAAAACGTCTTTATGTTCTGTATTATGCCAGTTGAGCTAGATGTCCCCTGAGACAATGGTTCCTAACCTTCAATCGTAGTTACTCAGCCTCATGCAGTATTTGTATAAGTCTAAGAAATTGTCCTAACTGCTCCCTGTGTGCTGTATTTTATATATATAAATATACATGCACCATATGCAAATAAGAATGCAGGGTTGCTATTAGTAGGAACCGACTCGCCTGCACTTAACAACAAACAGCATAACCGTATAAGCATGTGTATACACTCCCAAACATTCTTCTACTCTATATAGCATACATATCTGCCTATGTAGTCACTCAGATTTTGGATTGTTATTGCTATTGTTGATGAATTGTGTGAAGTTTGTGGGAAAATTCAAGAAGTTTGTGGGAAGTTTCCATTATTTTTCATTCCATTTTCCACAAACTTCTTGAAGTCCCTTTGTATATGATATAGTCATTATTGTAGTTCTCCTTTATTCTTGCCTATCTCTGAGTGCCTTCATTTGCCTTGGCCACATTGTGCTGACTACCTTCACATTGTGTACTGTCTTTCCCTTCAACAGAATTAACATGTGTCTACTATCTATTAGTGATTCTTCCTCCCTCTCTCTCCTTTTCCTGATAACCATCAAAGAATGTTGCTTTCTGTGAGTAACCTTTTCTTAACTTTTTATTAAAATGGTATATAGTATTTGCCTTTTTGTGGTTGATTTACATCACATGGCATAATGTCTTCCAGGTTCATCCATGTTATTATAAGATACTTTGCAGACTTATAATTGCAAAATATTCCATTGTACGTATATATTGCATTTTGTATATCCATTCATCCGTTAATGGACTAGTTTTCTTGAATTTCTTGATCCTGAATTCTTTGTGGTTTTGTGTTTAAAACTTACTTCTACTTCCCGTAATATACTTTTTGAAACTACTTCCTCATATTTTTTGTTAATTTGTATACTGTAAAATTGTAAATTCTTGGTGTGGCCCCTTTGTAATCAGACCTTCTACTCCTAATTCCTGCCAACCACAAATCTGTTCTCTGTTTCTATAAAACATTATCCATAATTTCATATGTATGGAATCACATTGT